GCTTTTTCAGCCGTGGGGGCGTTAGAATGTGACGGTCAATCCCACTATTCGTTGGTAAAAGAGTAGCCCAAGAGTTGGCAGTGGGTGGTGATGACTAGCTGCCTTCCCTCTAGTCTTACACTGCTAAATTAGGGACGGCTAGCGCAGATAGCCCTCGTGTAGCTTTGCGCGAAATTCAAAACAAACAAACAAACAATATTTCACACTTGTTGTCACTGTGTATTTTAATATCCAAATCTTGCTGTACCAAAATTGTATCAAGGTGTTATCGAAAATGATCCATTCCCCTGGGTAAAATAAAATGTAGTCGATAGATGAATCTATCCCAGAGGGAAATGCCCATTTAAGGTCACATTTCATGCTATTATATAGCTACATGCGTATAAGATGGGTCAGATCAAAGTAAGTAAATGGTCTTTTGACGAAGATAGTTCTAATGTCAAACATATTAAGGTATGTTGGGGGATCTTGTTTTAGCAACTAAGATCGCCTTTGTTTCTTTTTGTCCGACAAAAAACTGAAGATGAATGTTAAAGCTATCTGTCTTTGTCGAGCTACTGCCGTTTAGAAAAACTAGCTATCTCCATGAAAACTTAATCACACAAAACCCACCGATCGCCCAAACTACTTGTAGAAGTAGTGGTACTAGGGGTGCAGGGAAAACCAAGGTCCCGCTCTCACCGTACTGTTCGTACTCTGGTAAATGTCAAGTCATGCATTATGAGTCTATTCCTTGAGACTCGTGGACCTCCTGTAGCTTTTCTCTAGGCCTGTTTGTCAAGCATGTCACGCGGCAGTTGTCTGTCCACTGCGAGAGGTGCGGCCATATTTGAGCCGGTACGTTTTTAACGTAAGAAATATTGAACTTGCAAAACTGATAGCATGAACTGGATTGACAATAAAAAATATCGTGTTTTATTAGAAGTGTGTGGATTTTGTACCTCATGCCTCAGAAGTGTGTGTCTCTTCCTTCAGGCCTCCCACTACAGTTCCCGAGTGCCTTCGCCACAGTTCATGCGCCAATTCCTGTGGATCAGAGGACGCATGAGGGCCGTTATGTGTGGGAGCCACGGCTACACTCCCTGCACCATCCGTCTCCATCTGGGTAAGTCGCTTTTTTCTGTCCTATTGTAACAGTTTTATCGAAAAACTCTCCTGCTTTAGTACTGTCGGATTTAGGAAAATAAACAGTTTTGTAGGGTTAAGTTTGACTTTATATATACCTGAAGGTATTAGAAACAGTGCAACATAAATAACCCTGAAAGAACAGTAGGTTATCGAGGACAACTTTTTATACCGAAAAGCAGCCTTTGATGCCACGAAATCAGTTTAATAAAGAACATTTTAAGAAAAGAGAAAGGATTCAAGGATTGAAGTCTCTCTATATATAAATGAAACAATATAAAAATATTGAAAAAACTATTGTTGTAAATGTAATTAAAACATAACAAATAAAATAATAAAGACCCTCTAACAAGACTTACTTAACAATGAAAAATATTTACGCCTGTGTACACACACACACAGAGGGTATAGAGTTTTAAGATATGTTTTAAAGTTCACTTAAGCTTTTAAGATGATAGAATAGAGGGCCGAGCTCAAGGTTAAGTATTTATTTCGATAGCGACAGTGTTTTTACAACACTGGATTTACTCCTTAGCCAACAACAAGCGTATTAAATAAAATATGTATTTGTAGTTAAATAATTTTATAAAGACCATCATATATATATATAAATAAATAAATAATGTGGGAACTCTAATTAAATTAAAGAAATAAATTAATAAAAGTCATATCTTCAAAAAATCCAACTTTTTTATTGTATTGTTTTTATATGTGATTAGCGAATGGAGGTTAAGGCTGGTAGATGGTGTATCCCCACCGCTCTGCGGGTCCTACTTCCGCAGTCACCTCCAAAACCCAGGACACATTTTATGTCCTACATTATAGTCTGTGCTCTAGTGATCTTTTTAATATATGCAGCGTTTTTATTGTAGTTGTTAAAGCTTGTTTTGATAATTGAAATATTTTTTCATCACTAGTTTGGTCTTGCTGTTCTTAACGCAGTCCTTCCTTTTGATGTTACTATTTACTTAATGTTGAAATAATGTTTTTACGTATATATAATGAATTAAATGTCGAATGATCGTTATCGGTCCAGGTTGTCAACTTATTGTTATAGCGGATAATGTCTGTGGCAATAGCACCCAAGTGTGTTGGGGATATCCCTTCTATGAGACAAAATTCAAACGCTGACGTTAATCTAGTCAGCCGTCGTGGAAAAAAAATCATCAATCAAATAAGGGTACGAAGCTGAATGCTTACACCCACAACGTCTCAGCTTCTACTGCCTTTTACTGTCTATAGCCAGTGTGGAAGGCAGTCACCCTTAAATTTCTTGAAGTAGAAATGAAACCACCCTAATATTTCGAGATTATTTTTCCAGTATATAAATTACGTAATGAGCAGCAAACAAGCTACTTTGCTTCACATCTAAAAGGACAATCTTTTACAACATTGTATAACTGATCACAGAAAAGCTGGAATAGTTATGATACATTTGTTTTTGTTTCATCCAGTCGTTTTGAAACGTGTAATCAGAAAGAAAATAAAAGGCAGGAGTTTTTGCCTCGTACTGAGAATGCTGAATGCCTCGCTTAGTTGTCCTGTGTAGAATTATCTTGATAAATCTCGTATTCCCAGACATGTGATCAGTTCGTAATTGTCCTTCCAAATGAAGATGTGGTGATCAAAGGGGAGCTAAATAACAGTATTGTGAGGTGAGGTATAAAACATGGAGCTGAAATCCGTCTAAGATGCGGATAGACAGATCAGAAACAAACTGCTCGAAATTACAGAATCATCAGGAAAAACTGATGTTTACTTACTTCTCGAATTGGAAGAACTCTTAAATGATATAAAAGAAACGTTTGTATATAATGAATGAGAACAACAAAGACACGATATAGGATGCCATCCATTTCAAAAATTGTCATTCATAACATAGTATCCATGCTGTAAATAAGGAAAGTGGTCCAAGGCTCCAAACTGAACTTTAGGAGATGTACGTAGGAGACTTGAAGAATCTCCAGAATGAATGAGAAAAAAATACAGTTGTGCTTTATCGTTAAATTATGAAACATGGATAATCTGAACTTGAATGGAAACATTCAGTTTGAATAAATACAGTTGTTTCATTTATGATAAGAAATTAATCGATTATAAAACAAAATCCACTCTCTTTTACTTATTTAATCTCAGTTGAAGTTTACTGATCAGTAGAACTTCTCTTATGTGCTCCAAATTGATACAGTTTTTGGATAAATGCAACAAATAATACAACTATTATGAAATATAGAAAAAATAATGAAGAAATATTAAATCGGCTAAGAAACAATTTGGTTGTTCATCCTAATAAAGTAATTTTAATATATGTTTTAAATGACATAGAAAAACGTGTGTTGGTTTGTGGCTTTAAAATTTGTCGTTTCATCCACAGCCGGATTAAGGGCTTAGTGGCTCTGGAGCGCGAGAAGCATAGAGGGGACTAACCATATAATTTTGAATTCCAAGCATGGGACAAAAACTGAATGATATCATTGACTAAGAAGAGTTTGTTTTTAATTTGTCTTTAAGTGCCTCATTTGTTGAGTATGTTAGTATGAATATACATTCTTGGTGTTACAACGTTTTTACGTTAACACAACGAGAGTTTTACCATATATCAAGGAAAAAGTATCTAAAACCTATCTTACATCATTGTTTTCCTGGTCTTGGAACAAGAAAATTCACTAAGAATTTCAGTTACATTGAGTAGTTAGAATAATTCGTATTCAATGCACAGAACGATAGCACGTTCAACCAGCTTCGACCCGTAGTTAACCGTAGCGTGTTTTTGATGTGCTTCAAAGTCTAGAACGAACATTCGCCATAGGAGTTACTGATCAGGAGGCACAAGTACATGTGAAGGATTTTGGTCACATTCGGGAAGGTGAATGTCAGTGATTGGCTGGATATAGAACTGAGCATCTGCATCAACTTGGATTCGATTATTTTATTAAAGGATCACACTTTGCATAGTTCCGCAGATTGAACCATTCTGTTTACTGTGGTCTGTTCAAGGTTATTAAGCTATATTTGCATTAAATGCCTGACCACATCACGGAGGCCATCAGTAGGCATAGAATCCAGTATGTCTCCCTGTAGGACAGCAGTAAGTCTACAGACTTACAACCTTAAATTTCAGGTTTCGATTACCCCCTGGTGGACACAGCAGATAGTCCAATGTGACTCCGCTTTAAGACAAACACACCCACACACAACCCATTACTGATAGAAATTTAAAACTATCTCGAATCTGTTCATACGTCAGTAATCTTTGAGGGCTGATGACATTTTATAAATTATGGCCAAGAATGTCTCGACTCTGAATTTATTCGACAGGGAAAGATCAGCATCTCCATGATCCCATCTTGTATTAGTTTTTTCCTCAAATGCACTTGTGTCACAGCGTTGAATGGTTTTTCCTTTTGTCTTCGAATTCTGAAACAATGGGGTGCATTCTTTTCACAAGTGATCTCAAAGATTCCAAACCTTGAGCTTCAATACTTAAACCCAATTTCGTATTTTACAATGACTTGCTAGCTTTGTCAAACCCCTCCAGTATGGTAAACCATGACTTTAGTTTCTAACTGGTTCATGACTGAAACTAAGCTGCTGGCTTCCAATTGCACATCAGCTTTTTTCAGATGTATCTTCAGTCAGAATCAAGAATTTCTGTGATAGCTCCATATCCCAATCTCAGGACACATAAGGCATCTGTATGTGCCGACCACTTCGTGTTTGAAATCGTGTTGGTGACTTTAAAGGTTTAAGGGCGTCACAGACATACTCCCAATGGTGGGTGGAAGCTGCTAAAACACGTATAGCTTCTGTGCAACGTCAAAAAGCAAAACAACTTCCATGCAGCAGTCTAAAGCTCATTGAACAACTAAGTTGAGCAAATGTATGTAGCATAGAATATAGTCTGTCAGAGAATTTTTTTTCCTGGATCAGCACTTGAATGCTATTGTACTTGCCATCATGTTTGAAGCCCATTTGGCAGTCTTGAATAATGATATTAGAGCCTTGAAGGAAATCAAAGAATATATTTGCCAGCTCCACTCCAGTATGTCCATAAATTGGAATAAATTTGATGAAGATTTCAACTGGACCATTGTGTAAAATGCATCTTAAGATGAGAGTGAGTTGGTATTGGACGTGGAGTCCACAGAGACTGAATGATATTTTGTGGCTTTCTCTTATGAAAGTATTGATTGGAGAGCCAACAAGCTGAGTATTTCAATAAACTCATCACAATTGGTGATGAGTTTATTGAAATACTTCCAGGTGTTAACAAGGGTGTTCCTCAGTTCACCAAAGTGATTCTGCACTTTGTCAGAGACCAGTGTCCACGTTCCAATTACTCATCATATGTGTCGTTTAATAGGCTCAGGCTGAAGATCATCAGTTATAATCAAATGTGTATTTGTCCCAATGTCACCACAATCATTGCTGACAGGGAAATATCAGAAGGATATTCACAGATCCATCTCCTTCTTAGTCCATTATCTTCCTTTTTCTATGCTTCCAATTTCCCCCAGCCACTCGGGCCTGGCGGTTATGGTACTCGACTCGCGAATTGCGGGTCACGGGTTCGAATCCCCGTCACACCGAATATCGTCGCCTATTCAGCTATGGGCATTATAATGTGATGGTCAATCTCACTATTCATTGGTAAAAGCATAGCCCAAATTTGTTAGTGGATGGTGTTGACTAGCTGCCTTCCCTCTAGTCTATCACTGCTATATTAGGGACAGCTAGTGCAGATAGCCCTCGTGTCTCTTAGAGTGAAATTCAAAACAAATCAAACCAATCCCAGCCACGCTTGTACTTTATATTTATGGCAAAATTACTATGGTAACCTACTGCCTTTCTTAGCTTTAAGCCACTGACTGACTAGTTAGAAGCATCCTACCACCCACACTAAGGAATTGATTGTCACTGTTATACCAACAGCTTAAATAACGGAATATTTTGTAGTATTGCACGGATTCGAACCCGGTTTGCCAGCTCCGAAATCCAGAGCTCTATCTTGATAAATTCAAAAAGATCTTTGATTTTCTCTCATATAAAGACCTGTACTGGTTAATGGTCTATGGGAGATTGTATTTGTTGGGCTGAAAGATAGAACTAGCCATAGGATAAGATGAATTTATGTAGTGGTTATTTGTTGCTACTACTCCACCTACAAACTTTAGCCAATGAGCTTATATCGTATTTATAATCTCGCTTCGAATGTACGAGAAAACTTTGCGCCACATCCTTAGAACTTTTTCCTAGGCATATCTTATTATATTTTAGGATCTGAATATCTTCATTAAGATCAGTGGCTCTCTTTCGCCAAAATTTAAAATACAACTTAAAAAGGTCAACATTCGCAGGCAAATGCAACATGTCTCCGACATGCAATCCCTACATGGCCAATTTTGACATGAGAAAAATCATTAAAAACACAGAAAAATCAAAAAGTTGGTTAACATATAGATGAATAGTTTACGAAAATCCCAAATTGTGGTTTCCTCGTTGAAAAATTGAGCAAAAACAAATATTCCAAAATTGTCTATATCTCTGTTTGGAACCTGTAAAAAAGTAGCTTTTTATCAAAGGCCAATGTAAATTGGTTAAAATACAACGAAGTAACTGTCAAAAAAACATACAGTTAAGTTTTGTGGCATCTTGACCTCCCTATAATTGCTAGAAAAAAGTATAACATTTTGGTTTGTCAGAGTGTTTTGCTTGTAGAAAATTTTACCAAATTCCATGTAAATTGGTCGAAATAAGGCTAAGTAACTGACCAAAACTCCTAAAATTATAGGTTTATTTAACTTTTGACCACCCTAAAATGACCAAAAAGGGGCATATTTCACATTTTGTACGTATTTGTATGGGACCAGTAAAAAAGGTATATTTGTATTAAATTCCCTGTAAATTGGCTGAAATACGGTGGAGTAATTGTAAAAAGAACCCTAAAATTATGCTTTTAGTTGCATCTTTATTCCCTATATTTACTAAAAATGGGCATGTCCATCTTTTTGTTTGTCAATGTGTGTTTCTTGCACAAAAGTATCTTTGTACCAAATTCCATGTAAATTGAATAAAATACAGTCGAGTAATTGACCCAAAATTCCAAAATTGTACGTTTTATGAGCTCTGGCTCCCCTCAAAAGGCTCAAAATGGGAAATCCATCTTATTTTGTATGTCAGTGTGTTGGGCGCATGAAAATTTATATTTCCCAACTTTCATATTTACTGCTGTAAATATGACCGTACAGGAGCCCAAAATATACATTCTGGGGTATTTTACCTTTGACCTCATAAAATCCTTAAAAAAGATCCAAATCAAAAAAGAAAGAAAGAAAGACAAAGGAATCTGGCACGAACTGGACCAAGGTATAATCTGGCACGAACTGGACCAAGGTATAATCCTATCAAGTTTCAAGTCATTCCGCAGGGAAATGTAAGAATGGCGGTCGATTGAAAAGTGTTTGGAAGAAGAAGAAACAAATAGAAAACAGTATCTCTCTGCGGAAACATAAATGTAGCTTATACTAAACAATCGACAAATATATTAGCTATGTTTTAGTCAAGCGCGTTTTGTAAACTGTGACATTGCTCGTTTCATGTAGAAACCTTTACTTTTAAAGTTTATTGTTATTTGAAAACCACTGGCTTAAGAAGCTTACGTTTTATTGCTGCAAGTTTTAATAAATGCGAATATTTTTAAGAGAATTAAAACAAACCTAGTAGACCATTCATGGCCTTGACCTGCCTAGTTCAACAAACGCCTGTCTATGAAGGGGATGGATGACTTATTTGGTCCTGTTTATACCATGCAGTACTTTACGCTTCCAACGTGTTAGGTCATGAAGTAAATACGGTCTTATTTATCAAATGACACAAAAGATAATGTTGTTTAGTTTTGTTTTTTAACGAGAAATTTAAATGTGCTTTCTATGTAACTATTCCAGAATTCAAGGTGCGTGAAAAATTCGTATAAACATTTTGATAAACGTAGAATCACGCGAAACAATCTGTTGCATATTACTATTGTGATTTCTATGAAATCTAGAACACTAAAAAAAAGAAAAAAAGATGAACGCTATGTAAATAACCAGACGTATTATTATGACAGTCCATAAAAAAACTTGTGTGGTTCTAAAAAACATAGTTCTTTCTAATATTTAGTTTCCCTTAAGGTTGTAATCTTCCTATGATCTTGTACAATGTACGTATTTTCATCATGAAACCCACTGATGAACACAGTCCATAGAATCCATTATTGTTTAAGTGATTTCTGGTATGATAATTGTGTGAGGCATTCTACACTCTTAATTACTTGCACAAGATTCTCTCCGTTTCCTTTTTTTTTTCTTTCCACTCTGCACCTAAAGTGACACTCTTTATGATTACTAGTTCTATATCGATAAAAAAGAGCAGACGATAATATCTGCTCATGATTCCAGCTTTCCTGTGGTAGATCACTTAATGATGCTGTGTCTGATCCTTCTAGTTAGACAGCAAAATGGATCTTTTAACTGAGAATTGTTTCATCCCTTCACTTGAGAAACAAGGGTTTATAAGACTCATTCAGTTTGTCTAACATCATAGATGGAGGTAATTACATTCATAAAATGAATGTTCAGATTCATCAACATGGTACATATAAAAGTTATGTCTATATATTTAACAAAAATAGTTGCTTAAGAGAATGAGACTGACAGCTCATTGGCTGAATTTCATAGAAATTGTGACAATGATGTAGGTGGTCTAATATTTAATAATGTTAACTGGTTCTCTACTGATTCACTCATGTCTGTCATTGTATTTATCAGGCCTTCTATAACAATATTAATGTTTCTCTGTATTTTGACAATTCTATCACCTGCAGTTCTTTTAGGCTAATATTGTTAGTGTCAAAAATAGGCATTCTGTACATTTTATTGTATGATAGCGGCCTCATCTACACATTTTAAATATTTATATTGGCAATTTTTTAAACTACTAGTCCAGTTTCTTATTATGTTCTTTATTTATAGTCTTGCTATTCTATTGGTTGAATGTTTCTAAACATATCATGTGTTAACATAAAAACAAAACAAAAAGGACTTAAATATTGTGCCACAAAATTGCTACTGATAATTATTTATCTGTGTATATATATATTAACATTTAAATTAATGAAAGGACATTAAGATGCAGAAAACTGTTAGCATTGCCCTATTATAGATAAGTAAATGTTGAAATTAAAAGTGTATAACATTATTAACTGCATAGTTTTAAGCATCCATAAATTATTATTTATAACTTGTTCATTCTTTTAGCCCACACTATACAGTGAAGTTGTAATTTCTTAAATTCATCATTTGACTATGTACAATTATTAAAGGATTCTCAACAGTCGTTTTACAAGAAATTGTCCATTAAATTTAGTTTCCTATAGCTTCTGATCATATCTGTCTTGATAAAGTTAGACATTCAGGTGTGAAAGTTTGAATGTGTCACCTACAGACTTGCTGGAAATGGAACAGGTGCTGGATTGTCAGATATTACCTTCCTCTCCCAGCATCGAGCAGTTCCAAATGGACAGATGGATCCTGGGTTCCACCATCCATATCGTCTCAGTCCAGCCTATATGGAGCAGTTATACAATTCCTTTCATTCCAACCCATCCATTTCAGTTAGAGGCTTTAGTCCCATGGACACCCCAGGTTATTTCTACTTTATATTAAAAATATTTGTTGGCAGTAATTCAGTAGTACTTTCATTTAAAGTGATTTTTTATTATAAAATATAAAAAAAGTCATAATAAAAATCACACACATACGCACTGTTAATTAAATTGACATCAATAAATAATTAGAATGTTTAAATATTTTGGATAGGCTTTTATCCTTTTTTCAAATTTCTCTATAGCAGTTGTAGAAAAAATTACATACAAAAGAATTAAGAATTAAAAAATGAAAATTGTAGTCATGTTTCTACTTTTACTCCTTGGTTAATCTTAACTAGTTTATTAAATTATATCCACATCTTAGAGTTAGACATTTCTAATGCTGTATATTGAACAATTAAAAAATTCAAAAGAATTTTTACTGAATTTGTAAACATGTTGTTTTCAGTGCTAACATTTTATTTGTTACGTCTCTGGTCGTTAATTTTCGGTATAAATTCTTCCCGAGGAACTTCAGCGATACAAGTCCTTTCTTTAAGTAAAACTAGTTTATTATTTCTCTATACAACTTTGTAATACACAGAATTTCCACAGTCACTTTAACTTCAACACACGCTATAATTCACAACGATTCACGCACTTTACTTATGGTCACTACCGCTCGCTTGACTCAATTATCTGTCTCTATATCTCTCTATCTGCTATTATATCTCCGCTTTATTTGCCGGGCTTATATACAAAAAAGAGAACGCCTAGAAAAGACTAGAGTTGCCAGGAAAAGTCAAGATCCTTTGAGAATCTCATGACGTGTTACCAGGGTCACGTGACTTCCGCTGTCGTAACACTGCCCCTTCCTTAGTATTATTCGTCCCGAAAAATAGCCACTTACATTAAACCAATAGATAATTAACAATAACTTAATTAAATGTACAGAATTTACAAACACAAAATCAAAATTCAACAAAGTCTCTTAATTTTACGGGACATATCTTATTCCGTACTGGTCTCCGTCTCGTTGGCTTCTGCTTCACGTGGGATTCATCTGCTTCATCAGGAAATGTGTTATTATCGGTAACAGTCACATCAGTGGTAGTACCTTAATCAAGGGCTTCACTGTTTCCCTTCTCAAAACCGGGGAGAGTTTCTTCTTCGACAGTGGCTTTTTCAGGTGACACATCTTCAGCAGCGTCATTTGTTCCATTATTCACTTCATTCCAACTGAAATGTCCTGGATAACGCCAAAACCTGTTGGCATGCGCCACCTTTGGCTTACCTCGCCGACCACATTTTATTCAGAAAGTCACATCTCAGAGACGATCCACTATGTCATATGGGCCTTCCCATGGAGAAGAAACATAGAAGACTTCCCTTTGGTCTTCCTGGGGTTATACAACCACACCTTGTCTCCTGGTACAAAGCTGACTTCAGTAGCTCTCTTATCATAACATAGCTTCATGGAATCACCAGACGTTTTCAAGTTTGAAAGCACCTGATGGTAAATGTCATCCATCCTTTCAGATAACACTTTCACGAACTCTGATACATTTTCAGGCAACTCTTCGTAAAGTGGGCGCCCTGTTATCAGATCCACTGGCAACCGAAGTTCCTGACCAAACATCAGCTTTGCTGAAGTGTCTCCAGTGGCTTCTTGCTCTGCTTTTCTATAGGCTATCAACAGCGGAGGGAGTAAGACATCTCAGTCATCTTGGCAGCTATTACAAACCTTTGCCAATTCCTGTCTAAATGTCCAATTGTACTTTTCTACCATCCCATCAGACTGTGTGTGAAGTGGCGTTGTCCTGGTCTTTCTTATGCCAAACAACTTGAAGCATTCATGGAACACAGCTGATTCAAAGTTACGGCCTTGATCCGAATGCAGTTCGTATGGCATACCAAATCTGAAGAAGAAGTGATTGCCACGGTGATTGCCAGTGTTTATTCTGTGCTCCACAAGGTCTGTGCACCCGAGGTCATGATCTCCTTTCGAAAAGACGTCTGCATAATTGGCCAAAAGTTCTCTAACCTGAAGAGCATGTGATGGTGACAAATGGAGTATGCTCTTCTTCTAGAGGTCAGTTAAATGTTCTTGGAGTGTATGTCCTTTCTTTATGGTTGTATTTCTTGCCTTAACATTGACTGGCTCTACCTCTAAACACCCAACAGTGCCCTTCCTTAAGTTTCTGCTCACATTTAGAGAAATTAGCCACTGTTATAGGTACTACTTGATGACCTGGCACAAGTGACCTTCCAATCTTCACATCCACTTTCCTGGATGGGTCTTCCACTGCTTCCACAAGCATCGGGCTACCTTGGGGATGTTC